GTGACATCTAAATTATGATCGTGAGTATATTACCATGAATTTAGAAACCAACTGAAAAGTAGGCTGTTGTTAGGTGTCTTAGAGTCAGCTTTGACCCGTAGCAGTCCCATGCTCAGCCGAATGAAACACTGCAAGGTCTTGTGCCATCCTCAAAACTACTGTGTCAATCCCTCTGGTTGAGGGTCTTCCCCTCCATCACTCTCCTTCACTTTACCTAGCCTCCTGTGAGTTCTTTCTATTTTAATTTACTGTATAATAGGGTTCCCATAAGTCAGAATGGACTTGTTAGTGAGTTTGCTTTGGTTTAATACTATTTGTATCCTTTTCTTTCATTACTCTTTCTTTACTTGTTTCTAATTTTATGCAATATCTCAGAATTTTCCATTATATTTTACTTCTTTCTTCTTTACATGAAATCCAGGATATGTGAAACCATAATGATACTAACTAGATGGTTTCTTAGGGTTGTGGCATGGGAGGTTGGGAGGCAATGGGGAGCTAATTATAATGAGTACAACAATGAAAAAAAAGTTCTAATATTGTTTGTGGTGATTATTTCCCAAGTATTTTTAATATATTTAAATGAAGCAATTATATGGTTTGTGAATTATGTGCTAATAAAACTGTCTAATCTATAAATAAATTAATAAAGCAAAGGCAAAGAATGAGAAGAAACTAGCAGGATACAGAATTAGAGATAAAAAGCAGGATGCATTCTAAAATATTCTCTGTTGTAGATAACAGTTTAACTCTTTGCTTTCCCTCACTTTGAGGAAGGTGGGTACATAGTTCGATAAGGTGATAGAATTATAATGAGAAAACTGAAAAATAGACTATGATGATATAGTGAGGCACTGATGAGTTAGGTGTAGAATTCTTCCTATCCATGTAGGGGACCAGAGTTGATCTTCTGATAATGGCTTCATGAACACTTATCCCTCCGTTGAAAATAGAGGCTTGAAGGTTGATGCTAGTCATGTTTCATGGGACCTTCCAAACTGTGATGTGTTAGGAAGAAAGATCTAGTGATTTACTTCTAAAAATCATTTTATATG